CTTTCAAAACTTCATCCTCTTTCTGATTTCTATCTGATATGGGATATTAGATATTCTATTACTGTTTCCTGAACCTGGATCTTTTTTTTTTTTTTTAGTCTGTTTTATCCTCTCTGAGCTCTGTTCAGTTTGGGTCATTTCTACTGTTCTAGCCTCAGTTTCAATGATTCTTTCCCTGTCCCCTCTATTCTGCTACTGAATGCATCTCTTACTTTATTTCTGCCAATTTTTATTTTTTTTAAATTGTTGTTCCTTTATTTGGTTCTTCTTTATATCTTCCACTTTTTCTTGTTTTAAGCACATTCATAATTGGTCTCTGAAGTGTTTTCATGACGCCAACTTTAAGATCCTGGTCAGAGAATTCTCACATCTGCGCCTTCTTGCCATTGGTATTTGCCTCTTCTCATTCAAGTGAAGACTTTCCTGATTCTGATGTGACACGTGATTTTCAACCTTGACATATTTGTTATTGTGCTAAAGACTTTGCTTAATTCCTCTATTTCCCTTGGTTGCATTGGTACCACTCTTGTGGGAGATGAGAGGCACAGCCCATTTCTACCTGATAGAGGAGGAAGTCTAGGTTTTTCACTACAAGCTCATCACTGGGCAGGGTTCAAGCTGCCCACTGCACTTCCACTAGGAACCCCCTCAACTGAGGGGCAGAAGTGCCTCTAATAGCTTCTCAAATCCCCAGTGGTGCTGTGCTATGGGATGGTGTTGTCATTTCTGAGCAGGGGTATATTGCTCCCACCCCACCAGCTGGGTCTGGCACCAACTCACTGGGAAGGGAAAGGTGCCTCCAGACAGGGGAAAAGTCAGACACCCAGATGGTCTGCATGGAGACTGTGGGATTGCAGGGTCTTGTTACCACTAAGTAGGATGAGAGCCTCAGCTTCCCTGTGACTTACCCATGGACAACACAATTGGGCTACTTCATCATGGACTGGTGAGAGTAGAAGTCGAGGCTTCCCCCTCAGATTTTGCTAGTAGGGCCACAGTTTTCTGTATAGTGACCAGAGTTGAAAAGCTTTGACTTGTTAAGCCTCCCCTTCCTGTCCTTTGGAGGGATGGAGCAGGCTATGGGGGAGTTGTCTTTCTTTATGTCTGTTGGTGTTTCCATGTGGCCAGTCTCTCCAGCACCCAGTTCAGCAAACAGAAGGCAGAGAGAAATCCCCGTGAACTCAGCTCATGCTATTCCTTGGGTCTTTCAGTCCCTAGCTGGTCTCCTTTATCTTCTGTTTTCTTCTCTTTGTGTTTCTCTATATTCATTTTTCTAACTAAGAGGAATAAGGAAGTATATATACTCTAGCACTCTCAAGTGGAAGTTGTCTATTCCCTCTTAATGTACTTGCTCTTTACAGTCATAAATAACTTTTAATTACAACCCAAACCTCTAATTCATAAATTAGGGAAAGGGAAAAGTTGTAAATAATAGACCTCAGCAAAAACAAAGGAGGGAAGGAAGGAAAAGAAGAAAGGAAGTGATGGAAGTGATTGCATATGGAATCACAAAGGAAGTTTCCCATCTGGGGATGGGGATTTGGGAGTCTTCATTCCATGGAACAACAGAGCTACTGGTTAAAATGCTAGCTGCTGCCTTTGAGAATGTGGTCCACAAGCCCTTGATGGTTAAGCTTGAAGGGCATGATATTTAACCATCAGGATATGAGCATTCCTAGTCCTTCTTGCAGCTTTAACAATGGGCCACATACTACAGATGTAGGCATGGCCCAAGGTTCTTGTCTGGGCACAGGAGGTGCATGAATGTCCATCAGTAACTCTGGAAGTCACATAGAGCAGCACCTGGAGTGTGGACCACCTGGAGTCTCCTGTCACCATGCCCCAAGCCACTGCAGTGGCTCAATTCACCCCATTACATCAACTTCTAAATCCATGGCTATCAAGGAAAGTGGACATCCTGAGCAGATGGAATAGGAATACTTGGAAGGAACAAGGTGATTTAGGGGCCAGCCCCAACTCTCTGAGACTCTCCCTCCTTTTTCACTCTGTGCCCCCAGCCATACCAATGAGAAAATGCTTCTTCCCATGTTCCAGCCCACGTAGCCAGAACATGGGACAGGTTTCTGCAACAGATTAGAGCTCAAATCCTCCTGCCTATTATGTTTAGTCCACACTCAGAGCACTGAATTAGTTGGAGGTCTGGGTAGTTGGCAGAAATCATGGGATTACAGAGACCCCTGGTGACTCATCCTAGCTGTAACATTTATCAATCCCAAGGATTCATATAGCAGGTCTCTACAATTTCTGAGGCTCTGAGGATTTGCCAGAAAGGGTCACAGCAGCAAAAGAAAGGAGATGTGTTTGGCAATTGAAAGGGCCTGAGGATTTGGGGTTCCCCAGCTGCTCTTCCTCCCCACAGAGTTGCTAAGCACAGTGCCCTTCTCAGGACCAGGAACACTTGGCACTACTGAGATATATAAACATGGGGCTCCAGAAATGTCAGGGCACCCATTGTTTACCATTGTAGCCCAACAAAGAACAATGTGTACACCCCAGCAGGAGAACCTAAACGCTCACAAACACAACAATTAACAAAAGGGATCCCATTCCTAAGGGACAGGAATCAACCAGCTCAAGAGTCCACGACCAGATGTGCATCTCCAACCACCTGCTACAAGCCAGGTCAACAGCAGGAGATGGTGTGCAATTTAGTGGAGAGAGGAACACAGAGAAAGGGAGAAGACCCAAGAGAGAGAGGGAGAGAGGGAGAATGAGAACTGAACAAATCACTACAATATTTTATGTGTCCTTTTACTTTTACTGGTGGGATGAGTAATTATTATGCAATCCAGACAGCTCTGTGGCCATAACTACTTTCTCATGTGTCCTGATGTACAGAACACAATTTTTCTCTGTTGCTTTTAAAATTAGTGCCATCCTCGGGTAGTCTGGGTCTTGGTTTTTCATTCTATGAAGAATGAGATGTATAACATGGCCTCAAATGAATTGTGAGTAAAGCCGCCTTCACTGGGTTGTGGTTACCTTGGGTCAGATTACAGAAGCAAGTGTCCTTCAGGGAATCCCAGGGTGACCTGCCCTCTCCAGCTCTCTGGGGTATGTTCGAGGACTTTGCTCTGTGAAGGGAAGAGAGCACTTATGAGCTGCCTGCCCTGGACCAGGAACTAAAATCTAATTTCAAAGTCCGAGACCCATGGACAGTGCTGCCGCCCCTGCTCAGCTGTCCCCTGTCCACCCTCTCAGGGCCCTGACAACCCCTAGCACCTGCCACCTCTATAGCTTCACCTGAGAGCTGCCCACTCACAGTTTCTCTGTCCATGTGGCTTGCTGGGCATGCTGGGGACCAAATGCCCAGGGGAGCCATGAGAGGGAGTCACTGTTCCCAGCCTCTGAGCCTTGAGGACCCCTAGCACCTGCCACCTCTATAGCTTCACCTGAGAGCTGCCCACTCACAGTTTCTCTGTCCATGTGGCTTGCTGGGCATGCTGGGGACCAAAAGCCCAGGGGAGCCATGAGAGGGAGTCACTGTTCCCAGCCTCTGAGCCTTGAGGGCTCAGTGTCCTGATGTCTGCTTCCCAGTGGGCCTAAGCACCAGGTCTGCGGTGGCTGGCAGTTTGTCTGCCTCCCCTTCTCACCTTGTTCCACGAGTCTGCTGTCTGAGGTCTGTCCTCCCAGATCAATACCTGCACCGCAGTCCTTGCTCTGCTTCTGGGAAGCCCCACTAAGACAGCCACATTCTGAGGACACCAGAGTTCTAGATTCGGCGTGGCCAGGAGGTGATGATTGCTGAGAACCACATGAAGGAAGACAAGAGAGAGGGGACACTGGAGGAAGGGAGTCAGAGACATTGCAATTTTGGGCTCTTTAAAGAAAAATTCAATTATCAGGTTCATGAATGTTCCCAGCTTCGTCCAAGTCAGGACATGGTGTTTATCTTGGCCCAGCTCCCCCATATTCTCAGAGAACTCAGAAAAAGTTCAGTCCCTTACTTCCCAACAGTCCACTTGATACATATTCTTGGGTGTCAACCATGTAGTAGGCTTTTTTCAAATGCTGGGCGGATGTTGGCCCATAGGACCGTCTTTCCCTGTGGGTCTTGTGTCAGTGTGAGGAGTGGGATGAAGACTTTTTAAAGCTATAAAAGAGTCACTGGCTGGAATTCTGTAGGAATTCTGTAGCTTGGATCTAGGTCCTTATATCAGGTCAGCAGGAGATGCCACCGTCTCCCCGCGTCGGTAAGTCCCCGAAACCTGCAATACAAGCTTCCCTGCATGGATGCACATTTCAGAGTGAGACATCCTGGGCCACCCACCCACAGGCCCTGGCATCTTTGCTCACACAGCGAATGGCTTTGTGCAGATGACATGTTTGTGCATCCTCCCTTGTTTCCCCTCCTGACTTCTTGTGTCCCCAGAGCGTACCTTTCATTCCTTTGCATCTCCTGACCATTCACTTCTGGGAACCCCCTGGATCCCACATAGTGGATACACCTTCGGGTAGTAAAAGGCTGGTCTGCATCTATCACTGTCCATCTGTGTGCCCAGCCACTCATCCACACAGACATGGGGCTCAGGGTCTCCACCCATGGTTTTCTCTACCTTCCATGTCTGTCTTGTGAATAGATTGTCCCTATTGGACAAAGAGCAAGAGCTGACAGTTCTTAATATATTACCAGTGGTCACAAATCCAGCGAGAGGCAGCACTGAGAGTGACGTCAGCAGCCATCCAACACCCGAGCCCGTGCTTCTGGCCGCAGTCCCTGCTCTCCCAGTGTGCGCTCTCTGCATGTCCTTTACTTTATTGCTCTTCTATGTTTCTTATGAAAGCTCACAGTGCAAAGTCGGTTTCAACTGAAAGATAAATTTAAAATGGAGCTATCAACCCCACAGGAACAGGCAATAGCTTAAATAGTAAGAATCCAGAACTTCAAACTGCCCCAGAAAAAGCCAAGTGAACATGGATGTAGATAAACAAACAACATAACGGAGGGTCCAGCATCCTGGCTGTGGGTTCAGGTGGACCTGGGCTGGAACCCAGCCCTGCCCCTCGCTGGCTGTGTAACCAATGGCTTCTTACTTCACATTTCCAAGCCTCAGTTCCCCAAGAGGAGCAGGGGAGCATGGAGGCCTTGATGGTGTGGGGCCAAGGATGAAGGGTGAAGAGCATCGAAGAGCCAGCAGCAGGTGGCAAAGGATTAATAAGACAGAGCTGCTCTCAGGATTGTTGTGCCAGGATCAAGAAATCCAGAGAGTTGAACTAAACACACCACCAGCCAAAGAGCTCCCTTCAACAGACCCTCAAAGGGCTCAGAATAGATGCAGAGCAACCAGTGGCACCTGGGCAGCCAGAGGTGAAGACGAAGAGGAAGCACTCAGGGAAGGTGATAATGGGCACCGCAGGACTACAGGTGGCAGCAGGGGGGTCAGGGGGGCTTGGGCCCTCGTCCCCAGGGGCCAACAGGTCAGCACTGAGCTGCAGTCACCAGTGTGCACCGCCCACAGAGGGTCTTGATGGTGGCACCGGAGCAGAAGGGGGCTGACTCTACTTCCTCTCTCCAGGGGCTAATCCAGACGCAGAGCACGTCCTGGACCCCATCCCAGGTCACAGCGGCCCTGAAATGCACTCCAGCAGGACTGAGTCTGGTTAGCCTCTGTGTGCTCTTGAGTCTGTGGGTGACCATAACAGACCCTCCCTCGGCCTCATGCCCTGCTGTCGGCACCCCATCACAACTACTTCCCATCACTAGTCACACTCCTGGTCGTCTCCATGGGCAAAGAGCCACACGTTCACAGAGGAGGCCTCTATCAGAGAAGCAGATGAGCTTGCTAATGAAGAGGGTGAAAGCCGGAGCCACAGTGAGCTACTGTATCATAAATGAATACAAATTACATTATCAGTGCTATTTACCTTGTAATTATGTCTATTCAATTATTGCATTCAGAGGGCTTTTCAGGAAGTCTTCTGCCCATGGCCAAGATCCATGGCAGCTCAGGCAGGGACCTGTCACTGCAGATTCAGAAGGAAAGATGTGGCCTAGGAGCCTGAGATGGGTCAGTACCTGAGAAGAGATGCTAAAAAGTTCAGAGGCAGCAGGGACTGCCTGTGGCTCCCAGGGCCAAAGTGGTCGGTCAGCACAAGACTCCTTGGAAAAGAAACCTTGGAAAGAAACAATCACTGAAGTGTTGGCCAGATGTCAACATATGGTTGGAGTTAGGGTCTTTTACATTATGTTTGTAAATATTTTGGTGCATTCATCTGAAAAGAGCCATGTTTATACATGACCATTACACCATATTGTGTCTAAAAGGATAATAAATCAGCCATATGATATGTAAGCACTCAGGTTTTCCCACATGCGTGAGCCTGGTCTCACATGCCTTTTATAAGGTGTGAGGGTGTTGTATGTCCACAGAGTGTCACGTCAGCCTGGCATTCCATGTGAAACTCAGCATAAGCTGTAGTTAGATTCGCCTTCTCCAAGCCTCCAAAGCTGCCACTTCTCCTAGAGCCTGGTTTCCTGCAGGGTTTAAGCCAAAACCGTTCAACAGACTAAAGGAGCCTCACTTTGTTCTAAAAGCTGGATTCAGTTACAATCCAGTGGAAAATTGAAGTACAGACCGAAACAAGCAAAATCACCTTTCATTATAATATAAATGGGCACAAAGCTTCTAGCTGCACTGAGAATGGGTAGGAGTGGCGAACAGGGGCTCGACAATGACTGTGGGATTGCCTCGGTGCACAGTTCCCTGGGCCACGCGGACAGCCCCGATGCAGGCTCACAGCACTTCTGATATGAAACGGGAGCAGCCCCTCCTGAGAGCCCAGCTCTGCTCTGCAACCAGGGGGGCTCAGCTGAGTCCTGGCTGGACACAGCGCCTTCCCTGCTTCCTTGATGTCAGTGGGGGCAGCTGCAGGACCCATGGGCCTCCATCTTCTGTGAGAGAAGAGCAAACCCTGCATCTCCTGGGACTGCCCTACTGCTCAACTGGTTTAGATTAATGCTGCAAACCGCCTCCTGGGGTCCTGCTGGCACAAGACAAGCCGGTGACCCAGGCGCCTCTGTTCCTGAAGCCAGCCATGCCCACTCCTGCCTCAGGGCCCCTCCCCCTTGGCCTCTTCCTCCTCAGAGGACATGTCCCCACTCCCTCCCAGGGGAGCCTGCCCTGCCCCCCCTGTCTCAGGCAGCCCT